GGTCGTTGGGTCATGAAACCTATTTCGATTTTCTGGAAAAAGACCAAACACAGAGGCCCGCCCCACGCGCCCCGTGTCCCCCGCCGCGTCTGACGGAGCTGCCTCGCCGCCGCCTCCCTGCCGTCCTGGGACAATAGGCCGAGCTCTGCTTGGGCTCAGTACCTGAAATTGGCTCCCGCTGAAGCCCGTGTTTCCCAGAGTGGCTGAGTCGCTGCTAGACCCCGCCGTGCTTTGGTGGGGACCGTGCGCCTTGTGGGGGACGTGGGGCACGGTGGCAGTTCCCAAGCCTGCCGCAGGGCTCGCGCTGTCCCCGCCCCGGGCCCTGCTGCTCAGGGCCGGCCCCTACGGCCGGTGAAGCTTGCTCGTCTGGGCCCTGCTGCCCCGAGCCAGCGTCGGGTGGGGCCGGCCGGCTGGGCACTGCCTGAGGCTTCGGGCCCCCCCTCCCCCCCAGCCTCCGCTCTGGTCGCGGGAGGAGGCTGCTCCCCTCCGGTCCTGGGAGCCGGGGGCGCTTCTTCCGCTGGACACGCCCGCGCCGGCCCCGCCCCGCCAATCCCAGCAGCCTGCGGTCTCTCCTCTCTGCTGCCCGCTCTGTCTTCCAGAAACCTCGCTCCACTCTGACCCCTGTCTGCCCTCCCCAGCCCCGCGTGCCTGCCCGGGGCCCCCTCCCCTGGCCGCCTCGCGGGGCCCTGCCGGGGGGATCGCTGCGCCTCCTTCTGCGCGGGCTCTGCCGTTTCCGCCCCGAGGCCGCGGCGTTGGTGAGAACACCGAAGTCACACCCCGGTGCTGTGTTTCCACAGGTTTAAAAACGTTATCTTTGAGATCAACCCGACAGAAGAAGTCGGGGACTTTGAAGTGAAAGCCAAGTTCATGGGCGTCCAGATGGAGACTTTCATGTTGCATTACCAGGTGGGCGTGGCTGGCGGGGGGGCCCTGGCCCGGCCCTCAGGAGGGGCGTGACCTGCACAGGGGAGGGGGCGGGGCCGCTGCCGAGGCCCCAGGCGGGCGCCCGGGTGGGCAGCGCAGGCAGAGGCTCCTTGTGGACAGAGCCCAGTCTCAGCTCGGAAAGAGCAGTGCCCGAGTCAGTTTGTGACGTTATGAGCCTCGTTTTTATTCTGAAATATCTAATTTTTTGCTACAAAAAACCACGCCAGCTTTGGGAGGGCCCCAGGTCCTGCAGACACAGGTGGCTCTGTGTGTCCAGCCACACGGTCAGGGCCTCCCCGGGCGCCTGCCTACGCCCTCCACTCCTCCATCTTGAACCAGGACGCGCACGTAGGTCCTCGGGCCTCCGGGTTGGTCCGGCCACAGTCGTGGCTTCCCCGGCCCTCGCCTGTCCACGCCTATCTCCCCGCTGGGCTCAGCCCCTGCAGGAGAGGGCTTTGTCTTCCCTCTCAGTGAGGAGCGGTCCTGGAGGCCGCTGGGCGAGGTGAGGGCCAGCGCCCACGGCTCACCGGCACTGGCCGCGGGGCCCTGCCGCCCCTCCGGCCATGGGCGGCGCCCTCCTGCTGGCCGCCGAGCCCCTTGCAGCGGGGTCGGGGCT